TGTTGGCGATTTGCTGGTCCAGGGCTTTGGCGTTAAGCAGATGCACTGCTTGGCAAAGGGCGAGCGCGTTGCGAAACACTTGCTGAACACGATGCAACCAGCCGGTGGTGAGTGTTTTACCCTCCACGCTGAGTCATCAAAGAAACGTGTGCCAAAAGCTGCGTCTCGGCGTGCGCGGCTTTGTGGGAGCGCGCCTCTACGGCTTCCTGGTATTGGCGCCGAAAGCCGGAATTGTCATGGTATCCACTTAAAGTGTTTGGATTTGGTCATTTCGTAGACCATGCTTAGCAGGCGGATGCTTGGCATGCTGTCCGGTCCCAGGAGCTCTCCTGGGTAGTTCTTCTGGAATTTGTCTACCAGGTCCTGAACCACTTCTGCGGTCAGTTTAGGAGGCAGATGTTCTGCCCATGCTATGGCCGGTGATGCATTTGGGCATGTGGGCATGCGTCTCCTGTGATGAGGCGGCCCTGGCGATTTCGAATGCTTTCCTGATGCGTGCGGCTGGAATGGAGTGCGTGTGGTCTGCCACTTCCAATGCGGACCAAATCTCTGCAGGCACCTCATTGAGCAGAGTGTTCAGGTCTGAAATGTCTGAGTATGCAAATGCAAAATCGGCGATTTCTTGAAAACCGAGACGCAGGATGTGCTCGGCGAGCATGTCTGGCACTCGGGCGTTGGCCAGCAATGCGCGCAGTGCGCCTGCTGTGTCACTGGATGCCTCCAATTCTGCCATGACCGGGAAAAGGGCACGGAGAGCGGTGGTGGCTTGTGCAACAAAAGGGCTGAAGAAACGGACAACGCAAGCGATGTGCACCAAGGAAGTGCCAACCCTAGGTACTGAGGTGCGGGCCTAAACCTTGAAGTTGCAGAACTGCAAGGAGCCCGCCCCTGTTGGCAGACACGACGGCCTCAGCCCTGCTGCTGAAGCACAAGTTCCTCGACGGACGTCACGCTGGCCACCCTGGGCAAGGTGCTGCTGGAGCCCACGCTCACCACGCTGGGAAATTTTCTGGTGCGCTCCAGGGGGGGTGTGCAAGGGCTTCCAGGGCCGGCTGGACGAGGTGGAAGCCTGGCAGGCCCAGCGGGGGCCGAAGATCCCATAAGAAACATGGCTGACGCCCGCAGACGAACCATCAAGGCCGTCTACGAGGATCCCCGCACCGGCTTCGGCAGCATAGCGCAGACGCTGCGGCAGGCTCAGGTGCGCGACCCCAGCATCTCCAGAAAAAAAGTGAAGGCGTTCCTGGACCAGGACCAACCGCAGAGAGGCTACAACAGCTTCGCGCCTCTGAAGCCCATGAACCAGCTCTGGCAGACATGGCCTTCACGGGCAAGCCCTACCCCTTCATGCTGGTGGCCATCAATGCGCTGACCAAAAAAGTGGCCGCGGAGCCGCTGAAGGGCCGTCTTGCAACCCACCGCGGCGGGCATGAAGAAGGTGTTCCAAGCCCTGGGGTGCCGGCCAGACGACGGCTCCGAGTTCAAGAGGGAGTTCAAGGAGCTGATGGGTTTCTGGGACATCGAGAAGCAGGTGACCAGGGGCCACGCCTACTTCGCAGAGCGCACCATCCGCACCATCAAGGAGGCCGTGTTGCGTCGCATAGCTGCCGGAGCGGGCCGGCGGGGGCAGTGGCACCTCACGCTGCCTGACGTCTTGAACCAAATCAACGGAAGGAAGCACGCTACCACGCAGGGCGCCGAACCTCGCCTACTCCGACCCTGAAATGGCAGAGATTGCTCTGCGCAACATCAAGCGCAGGGCCAAACACAAGGTTTTTTTTGTCACCTGCGCGCCTTGGGGCAATTGCCATCGGTCACGAAACCAAATGTACATCGGATATACTGGTGAAGTAAGACAAGTGAGACAAAGAAACCGTATGAGCGTTACAATGGGTCACAAACGGCAAACAGGCAACCGACCACGCAAAAACACACAAACCAGACAACAGAGAACAGAGCACAGACAGACATTGTGGCGCTTATAAGGAAACAAGATACATAGCGAAAAAGATGAGCCTGCGTAACCTGAGTTTCATCAAGTCAGCCGCATCGTCAAAGACAGCGGGCTTAAAGTTCAAAACGCTCTCAATCCGCCGGGGGCACATTTGCGCATCGTTAACCCCCATGAATGGCCATACGGAGAGTGAAACCGCAAGAACTAAATCAACAAGTCAGCCCGCATCCAAAGGCGTGAGGATTCAAGTAATCACTCAGTGGAAGACTAACACAGGGTTAAAAATTGTGTCACGACATGCAATCGAGATTGCAGCGCACAGGCATCACCTGCAGGCACTGAACAGTGTGAAACCAGACATGCGCGAATTAAGGCAGCATAGGCGCAACGGCGTCAGCCGTTACGCACCCTGCCGCTCTCCGGCGAGAGCTCACACTCGGGGCTTGCTACTTGGGGATGCGCCGGCCTCGCAAGGCTGAGTCTCAGCAAGGAGAGCCAAGAGATCGAGCGGGGCTGGATACTACAAGGCTCCACAGTTGCTGTCACCACTCCAGTAATGCGTGACCCGAGGATAGCGCAGTGTACGCAACACTGCTCACACCTTTTTACCTCATGGCAAGAGGCCAGAAAAGGGAAGATCCGGGTCTGCAATGTAGTAGGGAGTGCGCCTATGCACTTCCAGCTTGGCCATCTCGGCCGCACATCAAGGAGGAAGAAGGACTTTGCGATTGACACAGTGTATCGAGAGCCAAGAGATCAAGCGGGGCTCGATACTACAAGGCTCATCGACCACAGACCCAAAGTTGACAAGTCGACAACCGATGGTGGTAGCAACTCAACGCAGAGTCTAAATTTCCTTATCGAATGCAACAGAATTGGAATGCCAAATGGAGGGTACGTAGGCTAGCCACACGGACAGAGCACGCCCCACTTGGCGCTTAAGCACAAGCATTGGAAGTTGCAACGGCACCTCTTGGTGCAGAACTGGATGGATCTGGAGATGTGGAAAATGCAACACAAAAAAAATCTCAAATTGCAAGGTGAGATCAATGAAGACAACTATGAATGGTTAAAAAAATGCTCTATTCCTGGATGGCGAAGATGGTGAAGATTCAGATGAAATGGACTAGCAGAGGTCCATGTGGAATTAGCTGAGCATGAAAGATGCGATTTCAGTTTGCATGTTTTTGCAACGTGTCACGCCATCATTTAAGTGATGAAGCGTTTGAGCAAGGCCCTTGGGTCAGTTAGCTACGTGTGTTTTGATTTGAGCCATGAGAGCTCAAAGCAAGATATGTGAAGCTAGTGTTTGTCTCACTGGACTCACCTCGTAAAAGGCGGGGTGACTAGCTTTTGTGATCCAACTTAACCACGTTTGTAACAATGCAGCAACAAGTTGCATGTTGTGGTTTGCATGATGAAACATCGTGGACGGTGCAGGGCTTTACAGCTCGAGTGAGAAAGGTGCGCTGAGTGTTTGGGTTTTGTTGTTAGCCCCGGTCCACCACGCCGCCAGGTGCAGGTTGCGAACGACGTTGCTTCCGCGAACGAGCTCCCAAGTCATGAGCCCCGCCCAGGCGGGCGCGTTAACAACTCGCCCGCTGCCGGAAAGCGAGAGTTGCGTCAAGGGGAGCTCCGTTGTCGGCCGCGCTGACGTACATCACCGAATTAGAGGCCGTGCCCAGCCGGTACCGGCAGCCAAAGGAGTGGCGTTTTCCCGGGAGCGCGCCAGGAAGTTCTCCAAGGTGGCCAGCGTGACGTCGAGGGAGAGTTGGTCTCCGTGATGACCTGCTGGCTGACTCACTGGCCTTCACAGGCTCGGCGCGCTGGACGGGCTCGCCGCGCAGGGCAACGTGGGCTGCGACCAGCTGCTTTTGTCTGTACCAGCGCCTCGCGTCGTTAGCCTCTCGACGCAGCAGTCCCTCACCACGAACCAGAGGAAGTCGCTGTCCGAGCCTGCCACCCTCTTGCGGCTATCAACGTAGATCGTCGTCATGCGTTCTTTACCTGTGGCAGGCCATCGCCGGCCCGTTCGACGGGTCGCCGTTCACACGGACAACGACGTCAAAACCACACCCAGACGCACCAAGGTACAATACGAAACGTTTTCACACCTTGCGTTTATCAACGTCGAGCTCGCGAAGAGCTTCTGGCCCAGGAAACTCAGAGCCGCTCCCACGAGCGTTTTTCTCACGTGCGAAGCGCTCTTTGAATCGCTTGAAGAACAGATCGTTCCTGGGTTTGAAAGAGGAAGCTGACAGGCTCCCTCGTCGCCTGGTGGTAGAGCTGGTGCAATTTGTCCCTCGGGAGCACAACGCGAAAATTTTCGCACTCAGTCAGTTAGTAGCTTTTAGGCCCCTGCCCCTCAATGAGTGGGCTGAGCCACACACAGCCGCCTTGCGGCCAGCATGATTGATGAACAGAATGTTCGTGTATTTGTTTTATGCGTGAAACGGCTTGATGTGGCAGAAAGGTCCGCCTCACAAGACATTGGACATTCCTTGCATGGGGGAGGATTTGCGCAAGGGCAAGTGGACACGATGCTCAAGCCAAAACACCTCCGGATTGAATATTTTTTTCAGATTGCATGGCGCGCAAAGGATTAAAAGGCAGGATTTAACTCGACCCATGCCGTGTTGCAATCTGCGCTGGGCATGAATATTTGTTGTTAGACACCAAACATGCGTATCCTCTGTAATTTGAGTTTGAGTCCATGCTCGCAGAACTGCGTACATTGGCTCATGTTTCTTGCTTGCGAACAACCTTGCAATCTGCAGGCAGCTTGGCAGGAAAATGCCTGCACACATTACACCCATTTTCTAATGATGTGTCGCTGACATCCAAGCTTGCACTCACTCAAGTTTCCAGGAACAATTCATCAACAATGTTTGCTTTCTGATCCAGTTACTCCTTGAAGCAGCAATATTTCACGCAAGACATCCCACGTGCAAGGCATTTCCAGGTTTGAGTGGGATTCAAACGGGGCTCCTGTGGTGGGGAGCATCAAAATGGCTTTTTATCTTTCACGCACACACACCCACACGGACACACCCACACAGACACATGCAGCTTCCGGCTTCCTGGGAACCGCGTGGCTTCCAACACGGCCCTGCATCGCTGGTCCGGCCAACTTCCGTCAGTTCTGTGGTTGGGCGCTGGACGAGTTGGCCGCCATCTGCCAGTTCAAGAGGCAGCTCGGCTTGCAGGGCGACTTTGTTCGAGACTTTCAATTGTGTTTCGGAATGGTGCAGGTGCCAACGTGCTCCCAATATCCTTTGTGGACGTTCCAGGCATCACACAAGTCATAGCTCCCATCTACACGCGGAGAACAGCACGACTCTTTCTTCCAGTTTTATTTTTCTCCATGATCCAAGGTCATGCTCAACTCCGGTGGTTGCCGTGTGCGGCCCTGGCTTGGCGTTGCCAGGCAGGTGCTCGGACCCGCGCGAGACCGCTCGTGGGGAAGACGGTCGAGATCCCGGAGGTGGACGTGGATTGGAAAAGGTGCTGGGGCGGGTTGGGGGCTTCCAAGAACTGGACTCGTCCTTTTGTTTGGAAGGGAAAGGGAAACCCCAAGCTTCATAACTTGAGGTGATGGCTTTCTGTTTTTTTTTTTCCGGTTTTTTTCCCCCCTGTGCCTAGCATGCTTGTTGGAGTTCAAAGGGAAATCAACCGGAAACCCATCACTTGGAGATTGTAAAACAACTGTTGCACGGTTGGACCGGGCCTTTTGACATCTGGGTTTGTCTCTAACTGAAATCAAGTGCCGGGCCACATAAGAAATGTTGTGAGAGGAAGGTGGAAGTTGTGTGACGGGAAGCCAAAAGGAGAGCCAACCATAAGTATGCGACAGGCACATCATAAGGAAGACCCACAAGGAGGCCCATGGAATGCCAGCAGACAAAGACATGCGCCGACTTAGTTCACGGCTTCGAGAGGGTCTTGCTATTTGCCAACTGATTATTGCGAGGTGACATGCTCGGATGTTCCGAAAGACGGACCCGTGAAAGAACTCAACAAAGCACACAATTGTTTTGATTCCGAGTTTTTTGTGTTCCGCTGCAAGGCTGAGTCAGGCAAAAGAGTTGATAGGGTACGAGCGGAGGCAAATTTTGACTGACGGGGTGGATCCCAACGCACGGTGTCTTCCCTCTGTAGGAGGGATGGCAACGACCGCAAAGTCAACGCCCATTTGGATGCTTCCATGGGAAATAGCCCTCTAAGATTGGTCTGCTTGGTTTGGCTTCATGGTTCCCGTTTCAAGCCCAACGTCTTACCCGGTGTGTCTGCTTTGAAGGCCTTTGGGTTTTAGCTTCAAAGGGGAACAGGGAAGCCACCCAAAAAAGGGGGCACCGGTAGCTGTTGGTTTGGAAGAGTGCAAGAAGCTCAGCACCAAAGAGGGACAGCCACTCAAGTATGGCTTGTTTCCCACTTTAAAACTGCACAATGGGTATTGACGCGACAAAAAACCAGCAAAGGACGCCAACTATAAACCGGTGGATGGTAAATCGGAGCTGTCCTCAATTGGGACAACCTACCGACACTTACATTCCATTTCGCGGATGGCCAAAAGTTGTGGTGTCCGGAGGTTGGTGCTTGACCTCTGCAACGAGCTGATGAGCTTCGTCCCGGTGTGTGGCCCGCTCTGGGACGCAGTGAAGGCCTCCCAGCGCCGCGACACCGTGGGCTACGTGCTGAACTTCTGCCTGGCGGTGCTGGACGTGGTGTCCCTGGGCATCAGCGTGGAGGTCAAGGCGCCGGTTTTTGATTCTGCAGGTTTCTATGGGAAGCCACCATTTGGGGGCACAGGGTATTTTGTGGGTATCCCAAATATCATCATCAGACCAAAAGTTGCGCAGATCATGTTCTACTGGATAGATCGTAGATTTTGGGATCACAAGCTGTGAAATCAGACCACGAGTAAAGTTGTTCACACCAATCCCTTAGTGTACACCTTTCCTGTAAACGACTTGAAGTCTCCAGGACACGTCTTTCAGGGAAGTTTGAAGAGCCCTTCGATGCTAATATATGCACACACACACACGTACATATACATGCATGGATGCATGCATGCATTTCTACCTGCGGACAACCGCAGCGAGAAAGAGAGAGAGAGAGAGAGACAGGGAGACAGAGAGCAAGACAAAGACAGAGACAGAGAGAGAGAGACAACGACAACACTTTTAGATACACACTCACACACACACACTTTTTAAATGGCAGTCAGTCTTAGACGTCACCTTGGCCCTTGTCGTCAAGGCCTTGAGCCTATGCTTTTGACAGGAAAATCACCTTGCTGCGCTGTAACACACGGGTCTTACTCTCCATGGGAGCGGGGCAGTGAAATCCTGCGGCCTTCCAGAACGCAACACAAGGAATGGCAGCTCAACAGCCGCAGCAGCAACAACAGCAGTTGGAAGGAATACGCATGTACAAGATAGAACTAGTGCGAGATGACAGCGTACCTTGGACTACAAGGTTCAACATGCAACAGACGGCTGAGACAGTCAGAGCAATCGCAACTGCAAGTCACAATTGATCAGCTGGAAGCCGAGCACCTTCACAAGCAGTAGCAGAGCAAAGGATGTACGTCAGCAACAGCTTACACTGCATCTTGGTGAGCACAGGCGATGGACCAGCATCAGCAATCTGCAGACAAAACGTGCACGGCAGCTCATATGAAACGTGGCGAGGGCTCCACCTCGGATACTCTGCGACTGTACGGGCTTTGGGCAGTTCATGACTGCTTTTGCGTGGTGGCCAGACCACGGCCGTGAACTCCAACCTTCCATTCATCCAGCCATCCATCCATCCATCCATCCATCCATCCATCCATCCAGCCATGTACATATCTACATACACACACATACGTATATAATACATGTATGCAGGTATGTATGTACCTACATATACACAAGTTTCCGTGTAAACGCTTTACATGTTTACATGGGATGCATACATGCACACATGTGTATCCACGTACGCATGCATAGACGCATACATGTATACCTGTGCTCAAGTACACACAAGTGTAGCCTCACATATGCAGACACACACACACACACGTACACATGTATATCTATATGCTTATAGGCATTTTTGTATGTATATGTATATATATATATATATGCATGACCGTTTACATGCACCAGTACATACATATACAGTGTATATCTATATATAAAAACGCATAAACATTCGTGTACATAAACAAATATGCATGCATAACTGCTTGTATGCGTAGTTGCAAACATGTCCGTTCTACACACGGACACACATGCACATACACAGACATACGTGTAGACGCACACACACACACACATATATGCACGTATCTTTACAGACACGTAGATACACGTGCGCATGCGTACACACCTAAGCATATACATGCATGCAGGGCGTACATACGGACGTACATACTTGAACGTATTTACAAACACCCATGCGCATGTGCGCAGACAAATGCACAGACACGTACACACACACACAATGCATACATTTAAAGATACATACCGTACATACACATAGGTATGTAGGTACGTAGACACATACACGCATACCATACTTTTTGCCTGCGCATACGTGAGCATGGTACCACCGGCACACATGCACGCACAAATACGTACACATGTAACCATGCGCACATATACACATGAACACGCGTTCACAATCGCACGCATTCGCTTTTACACCTGTACGCACAATACGCACATACACATGTACACAACACTGACATTCACACACGCACACAAACACAAACACAAACACAAACACAAACACAAACACAAACACACAACACACAAACACACACACACACACACACACACACACACACACACACACACACACACACACACACACACACACACACACACACACACACACACACCACACACACACAACACACACACACACACACACACACACACACACACACACACACACACACACACACACACACACACACACACACACACACACACACACACACACCCACACACCCACACACCCACACACCCACACACCCACACACCCACACACCCACACACCCACCCACACACACACACACACACACACACACACACACACACACACACACACACACACACACACCCACACCCACACCCACACCCACACCCACACCCAC